AAAAGAAAAAAAAAAAGACACTTGACGCAAATATCATCACCTTCCAATCGAAGCACGTAGTATATGCAACACGCGCGACTCAAGCAGCGACAATTAAAAACGAATGCAAAAACGTGCAAAGTGGAAATCAACTCAGTTCTCTGCGGGTGGAGAGCTACCGCGACGTCTGCTAGTGCCACTCATTCCAACTGTGATGTGCACGCCTTCAGGACGGATAATCGGATCACCATTATCATCACCTTCATTTTGATTGCCTTCAGCTGCTCCTGCTGGTGCTGCTGCATACACAACATCAGCGCTGCGCGGCGCCCCGCTTACTGGCGGNATTTTGATTGCCTTCAGCTGCTCCTGCTGGTGCTGCTGCATACACAACATCAGCGCTGCGCGGCGCCCCGCTTACTGGCGGTGAGCCCATCGGGGAGAGATCAAAGTTCACGCTGCGATGCACACTTGAAACCCCCTGAAGAGAATAGTCGCTACACCTCACGGTATAACCATCTTCCCCTTCCCGTGCCGAGAAACAGGAATGTGCCCTGTGATGCGAGGCGTCGTAACTATCCGAACGAGGAATGTGTTCCTCCACGTTATTGCCTGCCTCAGGAAAGGCATTCTTGTCGGCCGACTGCAGCACCGAACCCATCGAGCTCGTCGGCAGGTGTTCCTCCTGCTCCCGCAGGCGCGTTGAGGTCGTTGCCCCGTGGCCCACACAGATGATAGAGTTGTCGTTGAGAACAGTGGAAATGGTCGGGTGTGGGAAACGCGTCCCCCGCTGCTTCTGCCGCCACTTCTCATCTGCCAACCTTCGCCAACGTGGCATCTTGCAGAACTCCGTCATGAACGTGAAGGCAAGGAGCGTGGCGCCTATGATGATGAAAACAGTGCAGGAGCCGAGCTGGACGGAAAGGTGTGAGCTACAGGCGTCAACGTCACGATACACCTCCGCCATCTGTGGGGCAAGCAGCATCCAAATGCACTCCCACAAGACGTACACCATGANAACGTCACGATACACCTCCGCCATCTGTGGGGCAAGCAGCATCCAAATGCACTCCCACAAGACGTACACCATGAACGCGATGTTTACCGGCTCCAGGAAAAAGAGCCGGCAGGTGCCGCAATGCAGTGGGATACCATCCTCGATGCGGCGCCGCATCCGCCACATGAGAAGAATACCGTACACCATGTTCACGATTGTGTTGGTGAGCCCCAACGCGCACCACCGAGTCCTTTCCACACTGCACGGGACCGACAGCACAACGGCAAAGCCCTGAACGAGCTGCCCGCCGTTGCCAAGGACGGCTAGCAGCGTGAAGAGAGGCATGGGGCGATCGTTCGGTATCACGGCTCCTCGGGCACGGCTAAAGGCCTCGCGCAAGCGATACCGAAATGTTCCTTCCCTCAACTGCATCGCAGAGGAGTAAACTTGACAGCCGATACTACCCTCTAGCGTGTATTAATGTGTGTGTGTGTGNGGGGGGGGGGGGGGGGGGGTAATTTTGGTTGCGAGGGACAGAAAAGTAACAAGCAACGCGAAGAATAATAATACGAAGAGGCGAACAACAAAATCTACATCCTCTCCTCCGCACACCAAGCAGGCACCTCACTTAATGTTGTATATTTTGCCCACTTTCTTTGTATCTCCCTCACTTTTTGTCTCTGTGTGTGTGTGCGTGTGTGTGTGTGTGTGTGCACAATCAGGGGAGATCAAACGAAGGAGCGGGCCAGGTACAAAGGAGACGGGCCGTCGAACCTCAAGCCTTATTCCATTGTTTCTTTAAATTACAAGAAGGGCAATAAGATAGCCCAAACCTGTCACGGCACAGATAACAACATCAAACATGAGCTTCGGGCAATAAATCGAGAAGAGCATCAGATGTGTCTTCTGAATGTAGCCATTGAAGCATGAGAGAGAACTCTGCAAAACCGCCAGGTAAACCAGGAAGTAGCAGACCCTCCACCCACGTGCGCGGTCCGCCTCGTAGGCGAGCATCGTGGCCATCGGGGCCAACACGAAGGCGATGAAGGTCCGCGACATAACAAACAGGGTACTTAGCATGAGGTTGTTCGCCGGTAGTCCCACAAAAGAAGCGTTCAGATCGAGTGTGTTGAAGAGGCATTGATTACCCTGTGCAAAGAACGCCACCCACGAGAGGAGATGCAGCAGCACCGCCTGCGGCACAACGGGAATGTGACGCGTCGTCCGCACAACGAATGGTAAAACAGCCCCGTGAACCGCAATCGCGGCACTCGCCAAAAAGTTCTCGTTACAGAGCGAACTTGCCCAGAGTGTGATAGTAATGTACCGCAGCGCTGCAGACCCACGCATCAAAGAGGCCAGCAGAAAGAAACCCAACGGTACAACGTGGTGCAAAACCGGCTGTTTGTAAGAAACTGCCATGGCTACAAATAATACAACTACCCACAGGCGATGGAAGAGTCTGGGTGAGAGCAAACAAAACCCAGCGACGGCACCTGCAAAAGTGCCCCACACCTCCCATCGCACATCTGGGGCATTGACGTCCATCCATCCCTGGAGCGGTGAGGCCGCGTCCGCAACATGGGTAATATGAGAGCGGTCACGGCAGAAGAGCGGCACCAGCAGCCGCAGAGACGAGAGCAGGGTGGCCAGGTTGATGCAGAGCCGCCACCGAGGTGTGGCCATTAACACTGCGACCAAGAGCAGCTGCCCCAGACAGAGCACCTCCACATATTCTTTTAATACGAAGCTGTTCGCGAACACGGCGCACACACGAAAGAAGAACAACAGCAGCGCCCACAAACCCACGAGACTCTCACACCGCAGACACTTTTGGGTGTCCTCGGCCCAGAGAAATGAGAGAAAAGCTATCATAAAGAGGCAGGACCCCACAAACATACCTAGACGGCCCATTGCATTGCGTGTCTTTCGCGCAAAGTAACTCATCTGCGCCACGCGCTCCCGCAAAGGAAGGTTGTCGTCTATCCACGAATCTTTCATCGGCACCTTCGACTCCTCTATGCACGAAGCAACCTGCCGCCAGTTGCACGCCTCGAGTGCCTCTATGTCGGCCTCAGCGTCGGCGAGCGCGACGATCTCCGGAAGGATACGACCGATGCTGCTGAACGGGATGGGAATGCCGAGTAACGCCGCAATAGTTGGCGTGGTGTCCACCTGGTGCGCAGCGCTCAGCTTGTCAGGGTGCACGCCCGCCGTGTTGCGGCACTGCTTCAGGCGCTCAAGGTCAATGTCGATATTCTCGCGCCAGCGCATCTGCGTCATGTCGGCCTTCCTCCGCCGCGCCTCAGGCGGTAATGATTCCGCCGAGGAATCGTTGCCGTCGAAAAGCTCCGCGTAAAGGAAAGTGTCTGTCTCCTGGTACGAGTCCCCGCCGTGATCGCCACTGTTTGTCATGCCGTGATCACCAAAGACGAGCACCAGCGTCCGCGTAGCGCTCTGACGTTGGTGACGCAAAACCCGCGACATGTTGCGTAGCGACTCGTCAAGCGCCGCGAGTTTGACACCCATTGAGGGGTGCTGGGAGTGGTGGCGATGACCAATGTGGTCTATGCCCAAAAAGTGCGCAACGATCAGCTTTGCGTAGTCGTGCGGCGCCTGCTCCACCGTCTCCGATTCAAGCAACGGCAGGAGGTTCGCCATAACATTTTCGTCGTTGGAGTCGAAGTCAGACACGTTGAACGGTGGGTACGCGATGGTGCGCTTCCACAGCGATGAGTTTTTGCCGTCGTCAGGGAACAGGTTCAGCCACGTGTCGTCGCCAAGCAGGATGGAGCGCCGGCGCAGCTGCCGCAACAAGCTATCGCTCAGCACCTCCTCCGTGTTGAGGTTCGCCCCGGCCTCGAGAAACGCCGGCACTGTTCCCGTCACTATCGCCTTGATCCGCTGAGCTGTGGCGGTAGGAGTGTCCGCCAGATAGAAGAAGCCATGCGAGGGGTGTGTCGTGTCCCGCAGGTTCTCCTCGATGTACTTGAGCGTGGAGCTGAGGGGGCCGCCGCCGGATTGCCTGGAGCCATTCACCGCACACTCTTCTCCGTCGGAGTAGCGGCGTGACAGCGCTGGCAGCACAAAGTCCGGCCGCAGCGCATCGAAGAGAATCAGCACAACTTGATCGACGGGCCGCACGCCTTGGCACGGCTCTGTCGCTGTGTTTGGCAGTATTGTCACCTTGGAGAGCATCGAGTGCATAAAGGTGAGCGACCCGCTCAGAAACAGAAGCATCAGCAGAAGCGTGCGGATATGAAACGCGGCATCTTGAAACCAACTCATTGAGTGTGGATCACTGTGTCGCGTTTTCAACGGAACGGTGAATAAAGAGGAATGCAACAGAAAGTTTATGTTCCTTTTTGCTCGCTTTTGTTTGTTTTCTTTTTTTTATATTTCCTTCTTGTTGTTGTTGTTGTTGTATCGATGCGGAAAGGGAAGAGGAAGGCAAGAGGGCAGGGCAAACCGAAGATGAGATGGCGGGACACAATGGCACTGCAACAGAAACAAGGCAGAGGCCAAGGATGGAGTGGTGCCTGTTCGTTGCGGCACCTTGTGTACGCTTAGGAATGTGTTAACAACCTTCCTCAAGCCACGAAACGGTGGCATCTTCGCAAGTATGTCTGAGTGCATGTGTGCATATATATATATATATATATATATATATGCGTACCGGTGCACAGAGGCACTACCGCCGCCTGTTCGACGCCATCTCCTCCTTCACGTTTCGGCGTCGCACCTGCATGGAACGCTGCAACGCCCGCCGCTTTGCTGCGAAGGGAATGGCATTCTTTGTGTGCTGCACTGTGCGGATTTTGGCACGTCGCACGGCATCGGCCCACTCTTGTTCGGTAATTTCGCGGCGGGAGTCCGTTCGGCCCGCACCCAAATCACTGTCGTGCTTAATCTTAGTGCCGAATAGTTCTTCCAGTTTTGTCTCCACCTTCTGCTGCAGCTCCATGTTGCGCTGCATCCACCGTTTCTGCTGAAGCTCTTCTCGGCTGAGCTGCTCGTCTGGCGTTGTGTCCGCCACCGACATGGGATCGTTGTGCTGCATTGCCGTCTGCTCGACCGTTGAGTGGCGCACATCGAGCAGGGTGTTGGGGAAGTCCACCTGCGGGTGCTTCGTCACCGCATAGAGGGGAACGTCGTGAGGAAAGAGCGAGCCGCGTTTGACCCGTTTCAGCAGCTTCCACCCGCCGATGTGCTGCCAACGCATCGTGCTATGTGCGCTGACGCGGTTGCGGTCACCATAGAAGCGCCGGTAGACGCGTCCCGTAACGAGGTCACCCTCCGGTGTGCAGAAGTCGGCTTGCACTTTGCCGTGGCATCGCGGGTCGCGCACAATACGCTGGTACTTGGGCGCCACCCGCATCACGCGCCGCCGCATTTGATCCACCTCCTGCCGCACGACAAGCATCTCCGCTGGTGTAATGGCCCGTTGCCGCTGGTACCCGGCGTCAACAAAGGCACGGTTGAACTTGTGTGTGGCGGGAGGAAGCTGTAATGGAAAAATGAGGCGATTGTGGCGTGCATTGCCCGTCTTCACGAGCCGCGGCACGTCCGTAGGCATGTGACCAATCTCCCCAGTACTTGTTGCCCCTTCGCGTAACGCCTCCTGCAGGGCAGCTGATGGGGCAGTGCTGTCAGTTGCTGCGGTCGCTGTAGAATCTGTTGGCGTGTGTTGCAGCGGCATCGGCACACCTGTCTCGGGGCGGTGCAGTGCCTCATCACTGAGGCGTTCAAAGACGACATCTTTGACAGCAAGCGATGCCTCGTACAACTCTTGTTGTTTCGTGTCCCGCTCACGCCGCTTATCTACCTCGGCTTTCTTGAGTTCCTCCTGCCGTCGCACCGCACGCTCGGGGACTAGTTCGTTGCGCGCGACGATCAAGTAGCTAATCGGCTCAACGCCAACCTTGAGCGGCATGTGACGTGCCCACACCTCCACAAAGGTGGCGCGGTAGTGCGCCTCTGTGCTGCAGACACGCATGCGTTTCCGCTTCACCCCCGCCTTGCAGTGACGGATGGGGCAGCGATGTTCGTGCGGGCACGGTGCGACGATGGTGGGTTGCCAGTCCCACATGCCGACACCTTTTTCCTCAAGAATGGTGTCACGGGCCTCCATCATGAGGTTGAAGTTGTTTTGGTTGGCGAACTCGACAAGCACAAGCACGCCCCGAGTCATCTTCCACAGCTGCTGAACCACCCGGCGGCGGTTCTCTGCGGTAGCAATCTCACTGAGGGAGTACGCGGCCACTACCAAATCGTGCTGGATCGCCTCGTCCTCAGGAAGCAGGTAGCGCTTCCAAGTCACGTCCGGTACATCGTCGTGCAGCACCATTGTGCCAATCTCCATCATGCCTGGGCTCGGTTCAATGGCGGTAACTTCCTGCAACGGTCGAAGTCGCTTTGCCACCCGCTGCTGTGTCGTCTCACTCTCTAGATCCACAAACTGTTCCCACCACGTCTTTGCCTTCGGCTTGCCGCCGTCCTCCTGTGCGTTTTCCGACTCCATCTCGCCGTCCATGACGTCCTGCGGATCCTCCGTGCTAGCGCGACGCTCGCCGAGCGGGTCGCCGCTCTCCCACTCCGTGCCGTCCACCACGTCGCGGTGGCGCGCGTGAGCCTCACGCACGAGACGGTCGCGTTTAGCCACCGCTGCTGCCGCTGCAACCTCCGCAATCTCACGTCGCAGGTCTTCTGGGATGTCAGAGGGGTCAATCTCACCCCGCTCCAGAAGCGACGCGACGGCCATGAAGCGGACCCTCTTCTTCTCCGCGTTGTTGCGCTGCAGTCGCCGCAGGTCATAGCGCAACTCTGCCAGCTGGTGACGGCGGGCCGCATCGTTGTTCTGCATTGTCTGCCGCAATGAGCGGTAGAGCGGATACGCCAGCGCGCCGGGGTCGTACACCTCCTTCGCCACCAGCGTTGCGGTGCCAGTGCCGGCACCGAAATCCAGCATCGTCCTGGGCACAAAGTGCGGGAGCTGTTTGCTGAGCTCAAAGAATACGCGGTGCATCCCGGCGTACATCGCCGAGCCACGAAACAAAAAGTACCCAATGGCGTCATTTGTGGAGTACAGAACAGATCGACTCGCAACGGCGTTCGCCACAGCCAACTGCCGCTGGAACTTCAAAAGGCGTTGGCGTATCTTGAAACGGAGTTTCGCCTGTGAGCGCTTGTCATGCAGCCGAAGTTCGGCAAAATTTTCTCCCTTCTCGCGGCGCTCAAATAACTCCCGTTTCTTTTGGTTTAGTGTGTCGGGCTCACCCTCAGGAATCATGTCTGCCGGGTTTGTTTGCAACCGCACCGGCTCCTCGCGGTTGCGGTAGTCGATGATGGGGATAATGTCCCGCAGGCATTGACGGATAAGTCCCTTGTCCTTCAGCCGGAACACCTTCATGAAGGCCGCCTGCATCGACGGCGACATGACAACCACACCCGGCTGCATGTTGCAGAAGTCGTCACGCACATCCCACTGCCGCATTGACGGCCGGCGCTTGCACATCTTGCGCAGCATCTGGTACTCGTACGACATTTTCGACGCCACATCAATGACACGAATGCGGCGGCGCCCGTACCGCATCTTGGCACTGAACTGCGACCACGTCTCCTTTCCAGCGATGGTGTTGCTCGACCCCGCCTGTTGACCCGACTCGCCGGGCTGATGCATCGCCCCTTCAAGCGGGTAGCGACCCCCCAGCGAAGACGGTGACGATGACGACGTCTGCCGGTGGATGAATTGCAACACGGCGGCAGAGCTGCGCAGCGGCGTTGCACACGCTGCGCGGTAAAACCGAATCGGCATCGCACCTGCCTTGCACTTCCCTAAGCAGTAGTAGAGGTGGTAACGAACAAGACGGAGACATTCAGTCATGCAGGGATGAAGAAAGAGAAAGAGGAAGGGGGAAGGCGTGAAAACAGGAAGTCATTCTGTTGACAGGTGCAAATGAACGTTGTTTCCCCCCAAAAGACATACACCAGAGTCCTCCTCACAGTTACGCAGTGCCGTTTCCACTGTTCACCTACTCGCAACCATTCTTTTGGTTGTCGCTACCCAGACTCTTTTCTCGCCCTTTTTTTCCCCCAAAAAGAAGCACGCCGCCCCTTCATCAGCATTCGTTTGCCTTTTATCACCCGTTCTCGGCCGACCAGACCACAGCGGCCTCCTCACACTTCTTATACTGTCTCCCCTTCCATGCCCTATTCTCCCCTCGGCACCACCCCTTACGGGGGAAACACCGTCACTCAAACAAGCATAATTACATATATGTACATATGTACATATTGCTGTACAGGTTGGCTGGTGTGTGCGCCTCCCCCCTCCCCTGCAGGCGCGCCGTGAGGAGAACATACAAAAGGACTGAGAGGCGGAGGTCGTCATGTGTCAATGAAGACCGGTTGCATTTTTCTTTTGTGCCCCCCTCATTTTTTTTTTTTT